GATGGATACAAGATCATAGATAGATACAAGAAAATAATGCTGCTGATTTCAAATAAACTGTGTGTCAGTGTATTACTGTCCAGAAGAGTTGTGGGCAACCCGCAAATGGGTTCTTGCTGTACAATGCCAGCGAGTAATTGTGAGAATTGACTTGAAACTCTCACACATTACTCTCTAAAATGCACTGCTACGTGACCGATTGGAAAAAGATTAACTGTAAACTGAAAGTGGGAAGAGTCTTTTATACTATTTAAAGTGGTTTTGGGGTTTGTTTTTTTTTTGCATGAAGTCCCCATAGGACTTTATATTTTTCATGTAACTGGCTCATGGATCAGGCTAGCTGAAGGCTAGTATTGCTGCCCTAATATTTTGCTCAGGATATGTTTCACTGCACGTGGAATATCATCATTCCACCAGGTGACTGTGGCAGGTAGTAAATATGCTTATGAAACTGGTGCAGCACAAAGTTTCATTCATTCTCCCACTTTTGAAAGTTTTTGGGAAGGAGGTGGGATTCATCGTGCTGCAGACACAAAACTCCTTCTATCTTGGGGTACACCAAGAGCAGCAAAAGTGCGATTTTCCTGCTTTTCCTGACCTCAGAGCTGACCTGTAGGGACTGCTCCTTGCAGTGAGAAGGTAAACCACCATCTTCAGTTCTGGACTTGTCTGCAGTGATTACCAGCAAGGGCAGTAATTAATGGCGCTTTGACTAGGCAAAACCTGACAGCAGCCAGGTTACAATAATGAGTTCTAGCTGCCGCCAGCCTGGGCCAAATCTGAACTGGTGACCTGGCAATGAAAACACTCTGCAGCCCATTACCAATTCTGAAATCATTCAGGCCTTTGATAACTCTTGCATTTTTATTGGCAGCTGCCCGGTGCTTCCTTCTCAGAGCTGCTGTGTCAGTGGTTTGACCTGGAATATACATTAAAGCCTCAGGGGGATGCCATTATATACAGGATTTGGAATTTAGGATTTGATGATGTCGGATCTGATTCTCTCGGAGTGTTTTCCCTGATGCTCAACAGCTCTTCTTCCCTCCCTCAGCCTTTTCCCCTTTCAGAGGCTCCTGCTTAATGGGTCTTGGCACAGGATTTCTTTTCTTTTTTCTTCTGCTTTTGTGTTTTTCCTATCAGTGTGTGACATATTCCTATCTTTCAGGTTTTGAATAAACAGCATGGCATTCTAGCAGTTTCATGCCTTTTGTTTAGGGTAAGAAAGATACACGCAGCAAGCTTATTGAAAAATTCCAAGACACATCTGTTTTGCATGACATCATGCCTGTGGACTTCCAGTGCTGAAGGATCTGTGTAGCAATGAACTTCAGTTTCCTGGATTAGAGGTGAACAAATAAGGGACAGTGCTCAGTTTTCAAAAATGCCATGCTAAATGGAAACTGAACAACTCTTCCTCAGTGTGCAGACAACGCATGCCGTTCTGAGAGCCCAGCCAAGGAGCAGCCTGAGTGTAACTAAACCCCTGGGTCATTTCAATGTTGCCATTCAAAATTCTGTGGATTATAGTGAGATTTACACCACCCTGGCACAGCTGTTAATTCAGGAAGTGTATGAAGCAACCCCTGATAATTCAAAGAATAAGAAGTCAAGCTAGGAAAGAGTCATAGAATCATAGAATCATTGAGGTTGGAAGAGACCCTTGGGATCATCGAGTCCAACCATCTCCCCTCCTCTACAAAGTCCTCCCCTACACCATATCCCTCAGTACCGCATCTAAACGGCCCTTAAACACAGCCAGGGATGGTGACTGCACCACCGCCCTGGGCAGCCTGTTCCAATGCCCGACCACTCTTTCAGTGAAAAATTCCTTCCTAATGTTCAATCTAAACCTACCCTGTTGGAGCTTGAAGCCATTCCCTCTCGTTCTATTGTTAATTACCTGTGAGAAGAGACCAGCACCAACCTCTCTACAGTGTCCTTTCAAGTAGTTGTAGAGAGTGATGAGGTCTCCCCTCAGCCTTCTCTTCCTCATACTAAACAGCCCCAGCTCCTTCAGCCGCTCTTCATATGATTTGTCTTCTAGGCCCTTCACTAGTTTCGTTGCCCTCCTCTGCACTCGCTCCAGCACCTTGAGATCTCTCTTGGATTGAGAGATATCGAGGTGGGATAAACTCAAAACTGGACACAATACTCGAGGTGTGGCCTCCCCAGTGCCGAGTACAGGGGCACAATCACCTCCCTCCTTCTGCTGGTCACACTATTTCTAATACAGGCCACGATGCCGTTGGCTTTCTTGGCCACCTGGACACACTGCCGGCTCATATTCAGCCACTTGTCAATTAGAACCCCCAAGTCTCTTTCCTCCAGGCAGCTTTCCAGCCACACTTCCCCACGAAGACCAAGTGTCCTCAGAGCCTTCAGATCAACCCAGAAGTTGATGGCTGGGTCCTGAAGCAAAAAGCTCTCCCTTTACATCTGCTGGATCTGGAGGGGATGAAAGAGCCTTTCTACCCGTTAAAGAATAATGGAGGAGAGATTGCAGGGAATTCGGAGTATGAACAGATTTTGCCTCTCTAAGGTGCTCGTAAGTCACAGGTTGATGCCAAAGGTGGTGGGACCAAGGATGTTACCCTTTGAAAAACTGAGTAGCAATGCTCTCAACACTTTTCCATATGGAAATCTCATTCTTAGAGTGTGGGGATTTTTTCAATGTCATTCTGTCATGTTGTAAGAAGAGGAAGGACTGAGAGAAGAAAGATCTAGAATATGAAGTTAATGAGGTATTTTAAAAAATTGAGTCTGGCCTCCATTTGTCACTCACTGGTGCTTTGCTGGAGCAAGAAGTGCAGGATAGAATCAAATTCCAAGTGACAGGGTAGTTGGGAGTGACTTCAGGCTGAATATTCAGCTTTGGGATTTATCTTTATGCTATGTTTAAAGTGCTAAGTCACTTAAAGCACAGATTATCTTCTCTCTTCTTTTTGGTAGTGTGTGCTCCTTCTTTATGCTCTTTCTTTGTATAAGGGTGTTGGCTGAAATTAATCTACTTTTATTTCCCTTTGCTTAATAATTTTGTAAATATTATTAACTATATTTTTGGTTTGGTTTTTTGCTATCTTTGAGGAAAATCATTGGTACAGTCTATGTATTTTTCTGGAATTATTTGGAGACCTATTTAACATGATTTAAGCTGGCAGATAATTAGGATTTTTAATTCAGACTACCACTTTTTCTCGGTGGAAAACAGCATCAGTTCACTTTTACCAACAGCAGATGGTAGCATTCTTGTGCAAGTTACCTGTTTGCACTGCAGTGTAAAACAAAGCTTTGTGAACGTTATTCTTTGTATGTTCTAAAGCTTCTGGAAGTTTTTTAAGAGTGTCTCTAGACACAAAATGATTAATCCTCATGAGTACATTTTCAGCCTATGAGCCAAGTGTGCTTCAGCTGTAAAAGACCCTGTTTAATACTTTATAATACAGAACATGTCCTATTTTCTGAATATGACAGGCCAGGATTCATTTTTTTTTTCTAGGCAAGGGGTTGGAGAAGAAGTTTTTACTGTGTAGCAGCAAGACATGCTCTGTGACTGTCTTCTCTCTAGTGCAGTAGTTTACTACATGCCATCATGGAACCAGGGAATAAATTCTTTACTATGAGGGTTGTGGAGCACTGAAACAGGTTGCCCAGGGAGGTGGTTGAGGCCCCATCCTTGGAGATACTCAAGGTGAGGCTCGACGAGGCCCTGGGCAACCTGGTCTAGTTGGGGGTGCCCCTGCTGACTCCAGGGGGGTTGGAGTAGATGACCCTGAAGGTCCCTTCCGACCCAGATGGTTCTATGATTCTATGATTCTAACTCTTATTCCAAGTGTAGCAGCTAGGACGAGGCAAATCTGTGTCAGAACATAAATTTAGTATTTCTTCTTCTTTGCCATCGAGAAACAGAGCCACCACAAGAAGTGCATCCAAGGGAAAGGGCCTTTACCCAGGATAAAAACACCCATCACGTTCATCCTCACCGCAAACAGGCTGTCGTGGCATTTCATATATGACATCTTTCTTGCCTGGAATCCCTTTCCAGCCATTTCCTCCCGTGCTGTCACACCCCTTTACTCTGTGTGTGTGTGTGTGTATGAGGTAGGATTTGTTTATTTTGGTGCAGAAGTGGTGGCAGTGACCTCAGCAGCGTTAAAAGACAATCACTTCCCCGGGGCGTGGTGTGTGAGATGGTGGGGTGCTCTGCTCTGGTGGTATGGCCCGTGTGAGAGCTGGTGAGGTCACGAGCACAAGCTTGATTAAGTCAGAACACGTATTCTGCTCCAGTGCCGGCGGAGCCTTGGGTCGAGTTTTCAGCAGCACCACGTGCAGTGGGAGGGTGTGGAGGAACAGAGTCTTGTCACGTTGTAGGGAGGGTATCTGAAAACTTAACTGACTTTAAATGATTTTCTGTTTTTTCCCTCGGGACAGTTTTGACTGGGCTTCTTGAAGATCAACCTTTTTAGGATGCTTTTCTGTACAATAGCCTAAAATGGGGATATGCCACCTAGTGGAAGTTAAAGCCACCCTGAGAGCTCTTCATTCTTCCTCCTTGCTCCCCCTCACAGCTCCCAAATTAAACTGTGTTTACTTCCCAGCACCAGTTTGAGAAGATACAAGGTCAGGGAGTCAAGACTCTTAAAGAGCTTTTCCACGGAGAGCGTTTGTTTTATGTATTACATTTGAGATCAGTAGTTTGGCCCATTTGTATTCAGGTACTGCTTATACAGTAACTTCTTGAATTACTTTTGAAAACCATTACGTTTTAACTGAAATGGTGGCATAGCCTGCTGGGTGATCTTATGTCCCAGTGAAGATGAGAGAATATCGTCGAAGATACTAATTTATCAATGACTGTCAGTAGAAGAACAATGTGGGTTGGATTCTGAAATGAGAGAAGTTGCATCAAGGATAAGTAGGCCCCTGCTTTGTCTTTTCCAAATGCAAACAGTGTCTTTTCTGTCGTCTTCTAGCATAATAAAACAACTGATATTCCCTCCTAGGAGCACCCCTTACTTGGGCAGCCATTTTTTGTTCTGCACCCCTGCCGCACTAATGAATTCATGTCTTCTCTACTGACCAGCACACGGAAACACAACAGGTGAGAAACAGCACTGTGCCTTGCAAGGCTTTATGCAATGCAGGTAAAGTAAATCAGCCCAGAAGTGAAAATGGTCAAAACAACTTCCTTGGTCCAAATAGAATAAGATTGCAGATTGTCATCTAAGGGCTAAAAGCTAAAATCTATTTGATAAAGTGAAAGAACAGCCCCATCTGAAGTTATTTCATGACTGCCAAGTCTGTCTGAAATTCAGGAAAGGTTGGGACAATATGTTTATGGTGCCTTTTTTTTTTTCCTCCTAGACACACAAATTACATTATATTGTGGCTCAGTACTGTAGGCCCAGTTGTGGGTCTCAATCTCCCCCTGAGTTATGCAAAACTAGCACCTGAGCAGAATACAAATGCTGATTCAGTTGAAAGGTAAGAGAAAATGAAATCACCTTTTTCCTCTCCCATCTTCCTGTGAAATTAAAAAGGTCGGGTGGATGACTGGCAAAAGCATCGTCTTTTCCTTGGGAGCTCTTCATTCAGTTTGTTTAGGACTTACTTACCTTTTGGTTTGTTGCTTACATGGCTGCCTTGTTGCCTTACTGACTTTGCAATGAAAATTTGCGCTGAGAGAGATGTGCTTCGCCCATTGCTGACACTCTTCATGACTGTCAGAAGGTCCCTGATGTCTTGGGGCCCTTTCTCAGGTGTGTGAAGGCATTTTATGGTGGTCCCTCCAGCACATGGTTGGTGGTGTGATCTAGCATACCTCTGCTACAATGATTTTAATTTCATCTTTTCTCTTGATTTCTCTGTTTGCTGTCTCCATTTCAGACCTCTGAGCTGATGGACAGATGATGGGTAGCTGTAGTAAAGCTACTGAAGAGTTTCCTTGGGATGAAATCAAACAAAGGAATCCTTCCTGATTGGTGAGCAACGCAACGCAGAAAAATGACTGTTGATGGCTCTTCCTCTGGCAAGAACTTGGCTGGTTACAGTTGAAGACCTCAAAGTTGGTGGCAGTTGTGCCAACAGCTCTCAAGCATCACCGAGACCTGAACTCCCTTGCGATTGCATTCACCCCTTGAAGTCACTCATTTCCTGTGGCAACAAAGGGGCACAGACTCTGCCAAGTGGTGAAGCGAAGACGTTTAATGTTTCGTTTTTACAGCATATATAGTTTCTTTTGATCATGCGCTGTGCTCTCTAAACAGATAGGTTGCAAGTGGATGTCCACGCACTCTTGGGAGCAACACAACTGGCTACATTTAAGTGTCCATGCACCTAAACTACCAAAACCTTTGGTAGTTCCTTTCTACCTTTCTACCTATGTTATCTGTTGTATACCTCGCTATCTGTTATTTGCGCTGCCTTGCTAGATTTCACACCACACAGATAATGCCATATAAAGACTTTGTTTTACTGTTCCCACAGCTTCCTTCCCACCAGTGCAGGAACATCTGCTGAATTCCCACAGAGCCGCTCATCCCCAGCTTCTCCATCCTCCACAGTTTCCTACCTCTGTTCTGCTGTGGTGGTGGCCTTAGTAACACTGCACACAAATGCACAAGCCTATGGTTCCTTGATACAGAGGTGAGATGCTGAGTTTGGATCTACCTGCAGCCCTGAGGAAAGAGACTTGGGGGTGCTCGTGGACGAGAAGCTGGACATGAGCAGGCAGTGGGCAGCTGCAGCCCAGAAGGCCAATCACATCCTGAGCTGCATCAAAAGATGCGTTGCCAGCAGGTCCAGAGAGGTGGTTCTTCCACTTTGCTCTGGTGAGACCTCACCTGGAGTATTGTGTGCAGGTCTGGAGCCCTCAGTATAGGAAAGACATGGACCTGATGGAGCAGGTCCAGACGAGGTCCACGAGGATGATCAGGGGTATATAACGCCTCTGCTTCGATGACAGGCTGAGGGAGCTGGGGTTGTTCAGCCTGGAGAAGAGGAGGCTCCAGGGAGACCTAATAGCAGCCTTCCAGTACCTGAAGGGAGCCTACAGGAAGGCTGGGGAGAACCTGTTTACAAAGGCCTGTAGTGATAGGAGGGACAATGGCAATGGAGGGGAGCAGATTTAGGTTGGAGATCAGGAGAAAGTTCTTCACTGTGAGGGTGGTGGAGCACTGGAACAGGTTGCCCAGGGAGGTGGTTGAGGCCCCATCCCTGGAGATATTCAAGGAGAGGCTCGACGAGGCCCTGGGCAACCTGGTCTAGTTGGGTGTGTCCCTGCTGACTGTGGGGAGGTCAGACTAGATGATCCTTGGAGGTCCCTTCCAGCCTGGACAACTCTATGACTGTACTAAACTTACCTGCCAAAAATCATGTCCCTAGAAAATCTGCACCGTCTGTGAGGATACGTACAGCAAAATACTGGTAGGATGTGGTTAAAGCTTGTGGCAATCAGTGTATGGGCTGAGACTGCTTCGCCTAGGGACTGCCTCCTCCACCACAGCCAGATGTATGGACCATCCTCGTGTTCCACACCACACACAGAATATCCTGATCCAAGGGCTGAATAATACTTTGCTGAGAATCTTTTGTGTACGTCACGCTTCAGGGAACAGACAGGATCAGGCTGGTAGACAGGGTACTTACAGTCTGCATCTGCAGTTCTAGGGTTCAAGGTGCCTGATGCTGTTGTGGGAGAACATCTGGTTTTTCCGTGCTTCACTGCCTCCAGAGGAAGCTTCACCATACCCTGTGGGAGTGACTGTTGTAGTCAATTAGTATTTCTCATTGTGCTGGTGGTTGTTCACAGGTTCGGTCTCTATCCTGCAGTCTTTGTGCAAGCCTCCCCTGACAGCTGTTGAGTTTTGGGCAAGTAGGAATTGCATAGTAGTGCAGTCAGCGAAAAACAGATTAGAAGTAACTTCCATACAGAGTCATCTTGGATCCTTTCCCAATTGCATTTTATTTGCAGTATAAACCAGACCACAAGTCCCGAGCAGTTGAGATGGAATTACAGATTTTACTTTCTATGTTCAGCAATATGTCACTTGCATCCAGAGTCCAACGTGTGCTACATCAGAGCTGGAGATGTGAAATGCATCGGGTTTCAGATGCTGGGTTTTCAGATATTTTGATTGGTTGCATATTTTTAACTTACATCATATGTTACTGGTGGATCGAAATACTGTGCAGTCTTCAAAATTCCACTGGTGCAGAATTCTTTTGCCAGCCATTTGGAATTAATAATGAAAGCACATAACTTATCCTGGTCTGGATCACAACAACCTGAAAAGCCATTTTTCCATGTAAGATTTATAAAACACAGCTTTCCGTTTGTGTACCATGACAGTAGCTACATTGTCTTTTTTAACACTTTTGCTAACATATGCTTGGTAATTGCATCCATAGCCCATTTTCAAATTCAAGGGAGACTTACATGGGAGGAAAAACACCAAAAAAAAAAAGCAGACAACAGCAGTTTTAAGAGCTGTTAAATGTTCGTGCCTGCTCTGTGATCTCTGTTTGTGATACCCTGGAACAGAGGGGAAAATCACTTCTCCTCAGCCACCCTGCACTGCTAAGCAGCTTCTCTGTCAGCTTCTCCTGCCAGCGAATCCACGCTCAGGCTCTGGCCCTGGGGACCTTTATTCTCAGTATAACTTAGAACTGGCCTGAAGTATAACTTAGAGCTTTATTTAAACCAGGGTCTGAATTAACTCCTGCTGTCCTTGGGATCAGGGCAGTGGAGAGGATTTGAGGGAGTTTTTCCCTAAAAACCACCAGCACTGAATGCTACATTGGCATGTCTGAGGAGCAGTTATGCTCGTTTTCCCCAAACCACCACAGCTGCTACCCAGTACTGCACTGAGGGCTGAATATACAGAAGAAATTCCACTTATAAACAATAGAAATAATAAAATGCCATCCCGAATGCAGAGTGGCTTTGGAATAACTTATAGGGGAAATGCTGGTTTTAGTGTTCTCATATACTGTTCCTTGATAAAGGAGAAGAAAAGACCCTGCAACGGCTCTTGAGTATTATTTTCAGTGCTAGTTGTTCGGCTTTTGAGAAGATTTAACTGTTTTGAGAAGATTCAACTGCTAAGATGCTGCTGTGTGAAATTTATACGGGTAGTTTCACAGGCATTTCTGGGAGATCAGCTCTTCCTGTTTCTGTCTTGGGAGCAGAAACTGTGGTACAAGTGTTATTCACAATAGGATTTGGCTAGTTGGGTTTCCTCAGGGTGGGCAGGTCTGCTCATTGTGAGTCTGTGAGGTCTCACTGCCAACGTCAGCGCATGGACATCCACGTGACGCTGTGTCTGTGACAGTGTAACTTACAGGTTGTGATTACAGACAAAAGAGAACAAGTATGAAGTAAGTCTGGGAGAATATATTCAATTTCTCCACGCTGTCAGCCTTCCGTTGCACCTCGATCTTCTCTTTTTTTCAAGAATTACAAGAAAAGTGGCGTTTGTGTGTAAATGAGAAATAAATATTTTTCTTTCACATGGAGGAATTCTCAACACCCATTACTTTATCATTTGTAAACAGAATGGAGTATTATTTGGACAGGGCATTGCACATTGTACCAGACTGAAGATTTCCAGTGCCAGAGACAACCCTGGGCGCTTGTCTGATGGATGGCTGCACACAGCAGGACGCTGCCGTGCCAGGGTCCTGACACTCACACTCTTAACTCTTGGACATCTTTTCCCAGCAATCACTCTACCTCCTAGATATCTAACCACCATACATTCACTTGGCTGGACACTCCAGTTCTCCCCAGTTTCTGCAGCTGTCTCTGTCTTGCTTCCTTCCTGCTGATAACGCCCCTCCAAATTCCTCTTCAGTGCCTTGACCCTGTTCCCACAGTTGCCCAGGGACGATGGTGGTCATGGGGAGCGTGGAATGGATAACCAAACCAACAGCTCCCCTGCCCTGCCACAGCTCTTAACCATTTAACACCATAAACACACAGCAGTGTCACCAGCAGTGTCAGTGCTTCCCTGAAATTGGTCTAGAATGCCACTAGACACTAGCTGGGTTAGTACAAATACCCTAAGCTTTGACTGAGAAACAAATACAGGATAACATAAATATTTGGGATCCAGGAAAGATATAATCCTGTTTAAATACCTACTTTCTAATGGCGTAAGTGGGAGATGGGCATCCGATTTCCCATTTACATCTGTGCCTTAACGACTTACAGGATATTTTATACGAATGTTTATGTACAAAAATCCTATTTTATTTCAAAATCAAGTTAATTGCAGCACTATTTTGTAATTTGACTTAGCAAATCTATTGACGATTCTTAGATCTCAACATGGGTTTTGGCAACATACACTATCTGAAATCTTGCAGCTTACCAAAAAAGAGAATTTCCAGTTCCAGACAGTTTTGTACATTTGCTCAGTCGTTCATCCTTGCTAATCTGTGGAGACATATTGAGGACCATTGCTTCTAGGGACTTCTTTTTAAGAGAACTGACTTATACCTGCCCTTGGTTATGAGAATCAGCAAGAAGAATGAATTTTATGTGTTCAACTAAGCCAAAAATACGCTTTCCTTTGGAGAGCAGTTGCTACCTACATGAGCCCTCATTTGTGTCAGCATGGTCAGGTTAGAATTTAACCCCCATCTCATCTGCCAGAAGGTTTGTAGTTGGTTTTGGCTACTAAAAGAAGCGTTCCTTTGGTCAAATTGCATGCTTGTTTTCACATCAGTAAACATTGAGATAGTTAATTAGGCCTGAATATAGTGAAGTAAACAATATCAATTTTTGTTGCAACTTCATGAATTACAGCAAAAGTTTTTCAATAACTTTTATTTGTTTGCTTGCTTTGGCTATTTGCTATGATTATGGTTTAATGAGTTTGTTTGGACATCTATAGTCATACTGCTTAGTGTTTCACTTCCAGCACAAAGCAAAAACAATTGCTCTTTCCTCTAACTGTGAAGTTACAACTATTTCCTCCAAAAAAAAAGAGAACAGTGTATGTAGGAATATCTGTGCATATTTTTAGTAACATGTAGGCTTTTAAAAGTGTTTGAGAGAGCTCAGAGCATTTCTTAGTAATAAGTTCTTATTGTCTAGAATAAAAAAAAAGTATCTGAGGTTCATAGCTGTGAAACTGCCATGTCAAGTAGCTGGAGCTTTAATTCCCGAATTTAAAAAGCCAGGTAGGAGAGTACCCCCGAAGAGAGTCACCATGTATTGAGCACTCAGGAAGAATTAGGAAGGTGTCACACCTGTTACCTTTATGTCCTAGATTTCATTAGACTCTTAAAAAACGCGGTGCCACGAGGAAGCCTTCACTTCACCACTTGAGAGCTTGTTGTAACTGTCACCTGCTGAAGACGAATTTCAACTTGGGGTGAGAGGCAGGTGTTTGCTGCTGTGTCTGAAAAGAGAATGGTTTTACAGAGCCTTGCCTGGAACACCCTTTTCCTCCAGCCTGTTAGAAAACATCGTGTTTCCCTGCGGTGTTATTTCTCAGCGGCGTTGTTGGTTCCGCAGGCTGGGGGAGGTGGCCCTGTCCGAGGAGATGGGGCTGGGTGCTGCTTTTCCCTACCTGTGTTGCTGCCCGGGATTAGGCTATAGATAGAGAAGGATCCCAGTAAGGAGATTGTCACCATCGGTCACCTGCGTCACCAGGAACAATCCCCTCTGTCCCTTTTGCAGTACATCGCCGTAAAACGCGGAAGCCGGTCTTCATGATTTTTGTTTCTGCTGAGCAAGGACCACAGTTGATGCCACTCCACTTCCAGGGGCAGGTAGAGCC